AGAGGAGAGAGAGAGAGAGAGAGAGAGAGAGAGAGAATAATGAAGTTTCACAGTAATATTTACAGACTGCAAAGAGGAGAGAGAGAGAGAGAGAGAGAGAGAGAGAGAGAGAGAGAGAAAAGAAAGAGGACACTGGCCCAAAGGCTTTTAATCACAAATCCCTAGTAGCCTTCCAGCTTCATACTGCTGTTTTCCTTTGATTCATTGTCGTTTTGTCTTTATAAGGCTTCTCTATTGCGCTTTGAGTGTGGAAGAATTTTGTTCAGTCTCCTAATTTCCAGCTGTTCAGAAAGATAAGAATGTTATCTGTTGTTTTGTGTTTTATTTTAGAAAATAAGTAAATTAGTGGTTTCTCCAACATAAAAATAATCGATTATCCCACCTTGTTTTTAAGTATTTACTGAAGTCCCAGACGATGTTTGGGGTAAATTAAAGAAATATTAATTTGTGAATAAAATTGAAATTCGAGTTGAACTATAGGTTGAACTAGTTTTAGCTGAAATTTTTAATATCTGTTTGACAAATGTTAACCCTGTCCTTTTGCAAATCGTCAACTTGCAAACTCAGGACATCATTAAATTTGCTGTATAACCTAGTATATTAAGCAAAACAATTCTATCATTTGCATGTAATGCAGAAAAATTGTCATATCTGATAGCTTTATTTTCCAATTGCCTTGTGTACTGTGAAAGTAACGCTGACTGAAATCCTCCAATGATAGGACAAGGTTTTGCATTTCGGAGAAAACTGAAGATCCAGCAGAACTATAAGAAATTGCTGTGGAAGGTGAAGAAGGCAACAGTGTCACAGGACTCCCAGTTCACAGATCACTACCCAGATCACCTGAAACATCTCTATTTAGCTGAAGAAGAACGCCTCAGGAAACAGCAAAGAAAAGCTGGCCAGCCCTTGTCTGGAGAACAGGTTGACCAGCGTTTGCCTGAAGAACAATGCAAAGCTGAGCAGACTTCCTCTGAAGACCAGCTTTTAATCAAAACAGTAAAGTGTGTATTCACTTCTGAAATTCACCACTTTAAATATAAATGGAGTTTTTTGGAAGATATTGTAGGACAACTTAACATTTTGAAATCATAGTGTAATTTAGTGAACATACTTTCATGGAGTCTTCTTATAGTATTACATAACTACAGTAGGCTAGCTTAGCATAGATAAAGAAGCAGTGAAATGAGAATTAAGGAATCTGAGTTTTGGGACTGGAGAGGTGGCTCAGTCATTAGCCCTGGCTACTCTTACGGAAAACCTGGGTTCAGTTCCCAGCACCCACATGGCAGATAACAACTATCCTTAACTCCAGTTCTAGGGGTTCTGATGCCCTCTTTTGGCATCCAAGAGCATTGCACAACATGGGTGCACTTATATACATGCAGCAAAACACTCATACACATAAAATTAAAATACATAAATAAAACATTAAAAAAGAAATCTGAATTTTGGATTCTTGCCTTTCAAGAAAGAATAACTTCATTGGACCACAGTTAGTCCAATTTTATGTAGATATAGATGAAATTTTTTAGGCAAAACATTGTGCACATCTGTAAGCCCAGTATTTTGGAATTTGAGGCAGAAGTATCAAAAATTCCAGGTCAGCATGGGCTGCATAACAAGATACTAGAGAAATAATACAAATATGTATCCATTAACACCTTGGATTGTATAGCCAGACCTAACATGTTAGTATGCCAGTGTCCTCTATGATGGGAAGGATAGAATAAAAATATTTGTGAGCTACCATATTATATAACTCCAAAATGGGTAATCGGGTAAATGTTATTCCTAGAGTATTATATTTCATAGCATTTTGATGTCTGAGTTAATTATATCCAGCACTTAAAAGCACGTATGGTATATGGTAAGTGCTTATGAATGCTAACTGCTACTATTCCTATTTAATTTGAATTTTCTGTAAAGGATACAGGACATAGGTTGGCGTTAACAAAGAAAAGTCAGGCATGGTGGTGATGCATGCCTGTAATCTCAGGAGGCTGAGTCAGGAAGATTGTTGAGAGTTCAAAGACACCTTATGCTAAATAGATGTACTTTTTCCTGGGTGTGTGGTAGCTCAGTCATCCCTATTAATTTCAGAACTGAGGAGGCTGAGGCAGGAGGGTTGTCACAATTTGAGGCCAATGTGGGTTGCATAATGATTTCCCGGCTAGCTATTCTGTCTTAAAACAAAAAAAAAACCCTTCCACTTTGGTTTTTGTAAAGAGCTAACATATGAAACTGTTTCTACACACAATTCAAGCAAAAACACCAATAGCTACACTTACAAAGAAGCCAGGCATTACTTGGGATTATACATATATATATTTTTTTCATTTTTTAATTATGTTCTTTAAAGATGGGGCTGTGACTGCATACATAGAGCTGTGCAAGATCAAGCCTGACAAAATTCCCAGCATGTATGGGGGAACAGTTCATAAACTTCACCCCCAGCTGAGGAATTATTGGTAGCTGATGGCTTTGGGGAGAGGGAAATTCAGTTTTCTGCAAGATGAGGTCCCTGAGAGGCTACCCATACTCCAGTAGATGCCTCTCATCTATGCACATACTGGCAACACTAGGTGGACTCGGTAGTTTAATAATCATTTTCTAAATGCACCTGAAATTGGGAGGAAAAAGTGGTAGAGGAGAGTGGGGGAGGGCATGCGGGTGGATTTGATCCAAATACCTTGTATGCATGTAATCTCAAACAGCAATCAAAAATTAAAAATAAAGCTGGAAGTTATATGTGCTGAAAATAATAAATAGGATCTCAGAAAAAAGTATAGTTGGGGGATAAAGACAGAGACATTAAAAGTCTAGTGTTTTTCAGTGGGCTTGTCAGTCATGAAGTAAAGGTGAGACAGGTGGATTCCTGGAATTCAGCAAGCTGCCTGCTTAGTTTCAGGTTCAAGGTGAGACAGGTGGATTCCTGGAATTCAGCAAGCTGCCTGCTTAGTTTCAGGTTCAATAAGAAATTCTATCACAATTAAGGTGGATAGCAATCAAGGGGGATAACTCACATCAACCTTTAGTCTCCACACATGTACACACATAGGTGCCCACGCCTGTAGAGACACACACATCACACACAAATACAACTAAAAGTGAAGAATGTCACTAAACCAAGAGTGGAGTTTTCAAAAGTAGGGAGAAGTCAGGAGAGAGCAGAAAGAATTATTAATCATTATCTTGTCCAGGGCTCTTTGGAGTGGTAGAACAGAAATCATATATTAGAGAGCTGAGGATGAATGGGAACTGATGATTACAGTTTATTTTTATGGATATTTGACTATGAAAAGTTAAGGAATATGATTAGCAGAAAAGCACATGTCTTATAATGGGGAGTTTATGCATTCACTTTAACAAGGACCTACTGAAATAGATGGTAGTTATGATGTGAGGATAGCGAGAAGTTGAGACACAAAGGAAAGGAAGATTATTATTAGAATCCCAAGGATTCAGCTTCCAAAGATGGCAAAGGCCTTCAAGATAGAACACTTTAAGCTGAAGACCAGATCTAAGACTTTGTGGTGACTGGGGATGAAGAAGATGAAATAAAATAGAGATAAGGGGATCTAAGAACTATGAGATGAATGTTTATTTGCATCACAACTTCTGTAACATCTTTTAATGCGGTTTTGGTCTGCTTTTAATATTTTAGGGTCTTTCTAAGCCATCTGTGCGTTCTCTGGTTAAATATTTCCTTAAGAATATCCATTTTTCACCCTTTAGTTGCTCTATAGTCTTAACTGCAACTGTGGTTTTAATGTCTTATTTGAATATTTTCCTAATAAAAATTAGTTTTTTTATTCTTTCTATGCTTTAATATTTATTAGTGAAGTTTTAGCATACAAATAGTATATTTGACACAATTGCATAATTTTTGGTTAATCATTTTGAATGTGAGACTTATGTGTCCTAATTTATCTTACCAAGTTCTTCGACTATCCCAAAGAAAAATAAAAAGAAAACATCAAATCAAAAAGCACAAGAAGAATATGAAAAGGTACAAGCCAAGCGTGCTGCCAAGAAATATGTAAGTTCTACTTTTTAAACATTTAGGTTTATTTTTCCTTATTTTCAAGGATATACAAGCTGAGCTTCTTAGTTAGGCACATAGTATTCTCTGCATACTTTGTTGAATGAACTTCAACAAAAACTCAGAGCATTGCTCCTGAGTTAGTAACGTGAACATCCAGGATAATGTTTCCAGACTATGTCCAGACTATGGAACTTGTATTTTTAACATTTTTCCTATGCACTGTAAAAGTTGAGGACCTCCACCTGAGAATTTTTTGGTGGTCATTACAATATTACACTGGAGTAAAAGCCAGAAGGAAAGTGCTGGAATAAAATATTAAGAATTTATCTGGGGGCTGAAGAGATAGATGGCTCAGCTGCTGAGAGCACTGACTATTCTTGCAGAGGACCCAGGTTCAATTCCCAGCACTCACATGGTCACTAACAACCATCCTTAACTCCAGTTCCAAGGGCTCCATCACCGCCTTCTGACTTCTGTGGGCATTGCACAACATGGGGGCGCTTACACACATGCAGACAATACACTCAGATAGATAAAATAAAAATAATAAAATATTTTTTTTAAAAAATTGATTTTGTCAACAAAGAAAAGCCATGTTTTCCCTGGTTAAATATTTATCCAGGAATCTCCCTTTAAATACCTTTTAATTGCTCTGTGACCTTAAAAGCTGCATTTATGCAAAATTGTAATGGTTAGGTTTATTTTAAAACCAAAGCTTAATTTATCACTCATCTATCAGAATACCTCCAAAGATGGCACTGATATAATTACGTTATTTTTGCATTACATTATCTTACATGTATACGTAAGGAAATTGAGAATTTGACATCTCAAATGTTTATGATTATTCTTAAACTGATGACAGGCAAGGATGATGTCAAATATTAATACAAAAGCCAACATCATTTTACCCATGAGATCAACATTGTTAAGAATATTAGTTAGATACAGGCCTAAAACTGAAGTAAAGAATGTCAAAAATTGTTTAAAGTAAAGCCATAGGGATAAAAGAGGCATGTATCTAAACTCATAATTAGGTTTGAGATCGCTCTGTGTTTATTAAACTAAGTACTGTACCTATGTAGTCCTGTGAGACTAAGTAGCATAGTGTAGTATGGTGACACTTACTGAATCTGGACACAAACTAAGCTCTGCCACTCTTTGGTGGCCTTGGGCAAGTCACTTCATATCACTGACCTCAGTTCCTCATCTGTAAGATGAGCTTAATAAACTAACATAAAGTTTTAAAAGAATGTGTTGGGATTTCACAAATCATTGTAAGAACTCTTTACTAATTTATAGAATTTTAAGTACATGTATTTCTCATTGTCTCGTATATCATTTTGAGGCTTCCTGTTACAGGGACATGAGGGAGAATACATGCTGCAGTAGAGCTTCTTTCCCGCTGTTACAGTTAATTAAGAATTTTGTACCTTTTGGATAGTGGCTTTCAGGACTTTATCATTTTGAGTTACTTTTTTTTATACTTGAGTTTGTGGCATAGCAAGCCAAATGAGAATGAATGATAGTGCTTAAGTGATCAAATGCATAATTTGTAATGGGGTGTTTTGCACTTATATAATACGTGGCCAGTTTTCTCTAAATTAAATCTATAAATGAGTGAGATGACAAAAAGGATTTTCCTGAAATGAAGTTTTTAGTGTTGTATGGACTATTAAATTAGGTAATCTCTATAAAATCTATAATTCTTCAGTGGATTTAATTAAATAATGAAATTGTTAAATATTTGGTTTCTCTTTTATTTATATACAAATGCATAAATTGATGGCATAATTTTACAGTATTCTGTGGTATATCTTATAGTATGGAGGCAGGAGGGAGGGTACCCTTTTTATTTGTGGACACTATTCATAGGACAACTCTTTCATACAATTTCTGACACATATTTTCTATTTTCTGTTTGGTGACTAATGAAAGTTACCTTTGTGTATAATTGCAGGAATTTGAAAAGAGAAAGCAAGAAAGAGAAGAAGCCCAGAGGCTCTACAAAAAGAAAAAGATGGAAGCATTCAAAATACTGAGCAAAAAGACTAAAAAGGGCCAACCAAACCTGAACTTACAAATGGAGTATCTTCTTCAAAAAATACAGGAAAAAAGTTAAATTAGACATTGGGTTTTTAAGAGTTAAAATATCTGACTTTTGGGTTCTTTTGTATGTTTTGTGGGTACTTCCTAACAACAAACTAAATGTGTTCAGATAATATTGTAAATACTTTTTATTTTAGTAAAAGAAGAAAGGGTGTATATGAGCCACAAAGTATGATTCTCGTCTGAGAACTGAGAGAAACTTCAGTGGGATTTGTTTAAGATAGCAGAGCTTACAGGAAAGCCTTTCAGTAATATAAACATGTACAGTTCAGTAATCAGTCACAGCATTTTGCTTTTTATTTGTTTTTGTACTGTGAATTGAGCATAGGTCCTTGCACGTTTAGTAATTGTACTACAACTGGACTATATTTCAGCCCCTTGGATCTTTAACACAAGGTCCCTACACTGTGTTGCTCTGGCTGGTCTCGAATTTGTCAATCCTATTTTTTTTGAGGGCTGGGATTACAGACCTGTGCCACCATGCCTGATTAGTTGTATAGCGTTTAAATTCAGGTTAATGATGAGGGAGGACCACTTTCCTCAGAGTTTTTTGTTTTTTGTTTTTAAATTTTTTATTGAATTTTGAGATTTTTCATACAATTGAATTTGATAGTATTTAGGTCCTAGCCTCTCCCATTGCCCCCTGCTCAATTCTGTGTACTCCACTATATACACAGTATGGCCTATAGAGTCTGATTTGTGTCCCCACATGTCCCTCAGTGTGGATGCATCCACTGGAGCCTTGTCTGTCACACAAGAGTCCTAACCCAGTAAGATTGTCTTTCCCTTCCCAACAGCCATCACTGGTGTGAGTTCATATGTGTAACTAACCAGCTATCTGAAAACCTATTGCCTTGTGGACATCCACCACCTCCGACACAATAGAATTTTTGGTCCCCCTCATCGACAATGATCTCTGATCTTGAGAGACAGAAGTTTCAAATAAGTGTCCTAGTCAGAGATGAATACTCTGCAGTCTCTTGTTCTCTGCATATTGGACAGTTGTGCATTTCTGTGTTTATCACCATCTATTGCATAAGGAAACCTCTGGTGAGAGTTGAAAGATGCATTCATCTTATGTGTAGAAGTTGCATTGAAAATGTGTCACGTAGGACTATTTCAAAGACAGTTATTCTCTGTGTTTGACCAGTTGTGGAACTGTGTTCATCTCCATAAAAGCTTTGATGAGCAGTGAGAGGTACACTTGTCTGTAAATCTAAGCATGCATATGTAGACTACAGTAAGAAATTTTGTTGTTGTAGAGATGTAGCAAAAGTAGGTCTTTCTCTAGGAATGAACTCTAGCCATTTGTATTTGGCTGTGTTTACAGTATCACATGTAAGTTCCTTCCCATTGAGCAAGTCTAACTCCAATTACACAGCTGTTGATTACCCCCAAGTTAAAAGTGCTACTACTGCAGTAACATTAAATTTTTTCTGGGCTGGTCATTGTTTATTAAGCTTTACAGCTGGGTAGGACATGGATTGGCTTTCTCCCTTGGCAGCCTGCAGAGTATCCTCTGATACCATGAGAGCTAGTCTTCAAGAAGGAGGTTTCTGGGTCAGTTCTTCACTATTAATAATAATGCTTAGAAATTCACATTTCTGCACTTGAACAATACAGAAAGCCAAAATCTGACTACTAAAGGAAGTATGCAAAGTACAAATTTTCAGTTCTTTTAATTTCATCTGTGTGTGTCATGACAAAACTTGGAGAGCTAGTCCTTTTTAGTGGTGAGTGAAAAGTAGGTTAAGTTTATTTTACATGACAGAGTCATTCGCTAACACAGGTTGCCATGTTGGTCTGGAGTTCACTATGTATCCCAGATTTGCCTCAAACTTGCAGCAATCTAAGGAGATATTTTGTTTGTTTCTAATCCTTCCAAGGATCTTAAAGGGGAATGTCAAATAATGATACCAGGCAAAAAGTAATCAGTGTGGCTCAAAACAAAAGGTTCAGGCTTTAGTGTGGTAGACAATCCCACATCTGAGAACTCTACCCTCAGGTTTGAATAGTAGAAATGGGCTCAGTAATCCATGCGCCTCATAGCTCCAGTGACTTTGTTGATACTAGCATCACACTTAACAAACTATCAGGCCAAAGCTTCTGGGGAAGAGATTTCATTTAAATAAATTAGGAAAGCCAGGTGTGAAGGCTGAAAACAAAAACAGAGACAGAAGGATTAGAAATTCATGGCAGCCTGGGCTGTGTAGGGAGATCAAAAGAATTTCATGGGGACCTGAAGAGATTGCTTAGTGGTTAAGTGCTCTTGCAGAGGACCAGGATTTGGCTCCCAGTGCACACACTGGGCTCCTACTAACTACCTGTAACTACAGTCCCAGGGCATCTGACACCCTCTGCAGGCACTGCAGGTAAGTGATGCACATACAGAAAAGCTGGCACGTGCACATAAATTTTTTAAAAAAAATTTTCATGAAATACTTCAGAAAATTCTTCAAGGTTGCAAATGCTAGAAGTAAATACAGCATGAGGGAAATTACAAAGGGAAAAAGGTTGAGATGTGTTGAAATATCTAAGAAATGGTTATTGGTAGGAGGGATACTGCTTCCTCTCTTTCTAATAGCTCCATACAGAGACACTTGTACTCTTACTGGCTGACTTACTTTGCCTCAGGAAGGTATAGTACCCAGTCTAAATGAGTTTGGAGGACATGGGGCAGAGTGTATATATTCTCTCTTCATGTTCTTCCCACTTCCAAAAAAATCTTTTATTTGGATGTGTGTGTATTTATGTGTGTACATGCATGTGCATGTGTGTGGAGGTCAGAAATTGAGGTTAGGTGTCTTTATCACTCACTCTTCATTATATTTTTGAGACAGGGTTTTTCTGAACCTGGAACTCACTGATTGGCTAGAGTGGCTGGTCAGCAAGTCCCAGGGATCTTCCTGTCTTTCCCCAGCATTGGGGTTATAAGTTAAGTGAGTGCTGAGGATTCCAACACAAGTCCATGTGCTTTTACCAACTGAGCCATCTTTTACCCACTTTTGAGATGGAGCCTTCCTCGGTGCTGTTTTCCCTAAGCTGGCCTCAACTCCTTGGGTCAAGAGGTCCTCTTGCCTCAATAACACAAGGATCTGGGGCTTCAGGTTCATGCCAGCAGTCTGGACCAGAGCATGCACACTCTATTGCCATTCTCATCCTGTAAACTGTAAAAATAAGTTATATTGAGGAAGAGTGAAAAGAGGCTACACACAGAAAATGGGAGAGTGCGGTCACCGCCAGTGGCAGCTGCTCCTCCGTTCTCGTGAGTGCCACTCTTTCGTTCTCACGGGTGTCGAGGCTGCTCCTCCGCTTGCCCTGGGCTGAGGCCTCTCCTCTGCTCGCCCCGTGCTGCCTTCTGTCGTCACTCCTACTGCCCAGTCCCGGACCCCAGGGCTGGTGAGGAGACTGTGTCAGCGGAGCTGCATTCAGACACAGGAGACCAGGTTCAGTGACACAGGTCTGGTTTATTGCAGGAAGGCACAAGCTTATTTGGGGTAGTGGTCCAATCACAGCACAGCAAGTAGGATACCTTATTAGCATAACAGGTTTATCATCCTGTCAGTATAGCAAGTAGGATACCTTATTGGCATAACAGTCTTAGCGTCCTATTAGCATAACAGACTTAACATCCTATCGCAGAATAGCGGGTAGGATGCCTCATTAGCATATTGGGTTTCAGATTACAGAGCCTGGATTCCTGGAAACCATGTGACCCTGACTGTTGCAATAGCTAAGTGTTGCAATTTTGGATTCTAAGGGTGGTGATTGGGGAGTGGCTAGCTCTAGGCATCAGTCTCATGATCTGCCAATTGGAACAAATGTCACAATGCATTCCTTGTGGCTCCAGCTGTCTGGCTGTTGCCTCGGGCCTGCTGTATGACTGTCAATAAGACTTTCACCCTAGGCTCAAGCCTGTCTCCCACACTAGAGGCCTATGTTTTGAACAAGATAGCATCTAAAAATTTATGCTGTAGGTTGAGGTTACAGCTTAGTGGTAGAATGCTTGCCTAGCATGTGTGAGATCCTGGGTTCAATCCCCAGTGCTGCAAAACAGTTATAAAAAAATTATCACATATACCTGATATATCAAAAAATAAAAGGGACTACCATATACACATGAAGAGATTTTGGATGACCAGAGACTAGCTTCAGGCAATAGACTAATGACTGCACAGGAGTCTTGTTCTTGGGAGTTTATGCAAGTTTATATTGGGCCATTTCTGTAAAAGTATGGTAGATCTAATTGCTGTACTTTGTGCATTTAGCCTTAAGGCACAATGAGAGTTTGAAATTTAGAGTAGCTCTATCAGAAATGATTCAACAGAGGCAGTGTATGATACTGTACCTTAAAAAGAAGTGCAGGCCTCAGAAAAGAGGTACGATGTGGGTCAGGGTGGTGGAGACAAACCAGCTTCAGCTGAGGCACAAATCTCACTTGCTGCATTCTTGCCAAGCCCCAAAGGAGAGTTATCCTGTATAGAATAACACTTGGGAGTGTGGTTCACCCAAACTCTGTCCCCTGGATGGCTTCAGCAGATACCAGCCAAAACAAGGCACTCTCCCCTAGCCATGCTAACACGAAGAAAGATGCTGACAGAAGTAGGTAGTCTCAAATACAGGCTGCTGTGTTTTGACCTTGACCTACGTTAAGTATGGGGTGTAAGAGCAGCAGGGGCTGCATCAGATGTTTCCAAGACTGGAAAGCAATCTTTGCAGCAAGGATTTAATGAGAGAAAAAGATTATTTTTGGCTATGCTAGACATTATTGGCTAGTCAGTATTTGCTGCTTTTAAACTTCAAGGCAGATGCCTGCAAGCAATACAGAGCTGTAGAAAAGTTCAACGTCTATACTGTCCATACCAGTCACTGAATTCTAGTGTAAATAGCAAGATGCTTATCTCTTTTTTTCCCTCAATTTTAAATTTATGTGTATGCTTATATGTATGTAAGTACACCCATGTTGTAAAATACCCTCAGATGCTAGAAGAGGGTGCAAGATCCCATGGAATGAGTTAGAGATAGTTGTTAGCCACCATGTGGGTGCTGAGAACTAAACCTCAGTCCAGCAGCCAGTGCTCTTGCATAGGTGAGTCATCTCTCTACCCTAGTGTAGCAAGATTTTGACCACTGTAAATGGGAAATTTCAAAGCCAAGTCAGGAAATCGGATCATTGTTTTTGTACCACTGCAAAGTCTACTTTTGAGATTGAGTCAGTATCTGAAATACCTGCTATCTGAGTGGAAAGAAACCAAGTGCCGTGCTGGAAGCATGGCAATACATTGAACTTCTCACTGAAAGGCATCTTTCAGTTCAGCTTAGGTGAGCAGCAATGGGGAGCGCATGCTGATGGGAGGCTAGAGCTGTCACCACCCGTCTTCTAGCTTCTGCTGCAAATTATATTTGGCAA